TGATGATGCTGATGATGAGGGTGCTGCTGCTGATGGTGATGCTGATGCTGATGATGCTGATGATGATGACGATGTTGATGGTGACGATGATGCTGCTGATGATGATGATGATGATGCTGTTGATGCTAATGCTGATGCTGCTGATGCTGGCGCCGAGGCTGATGCTGATGCTGCTGATGCTGCTGCGGCTGCTGATGATGACGATGCTGACGATGCTGCTGATGATGGTGCTGATGATGACGGTAATGCTGATGATTCTGGTGATGCTGGTGATGTTGATGATGCTGCTGATGATGATGCTGCTGATATTGATGATGATGATGATGATGATGATGATGCTGATGAGGCTGATGATTATGCTGATGATGGTGATGATGACGATGATGATTATGATGATGATGCTGATGATGATGATGATGGTGATGCTGCTGCTGATGCTGATTGTGGTGGCGGTGATGATGATGATGATGATGGTGGTGATGATGAGGATTGAGATGATGACGATGATGATGCTGGTGATGGTGATAGTGATGGTTATGATGTTGATGCTGATGCTGATGATGCTGCTGATGATGATGATGCTGATGATGCTGATGATCATGATGATGATGATGATGATGATGATGATGATGATGATGATGGCGGTGGTGGTGATGATGCTGGTGATGATTATGATGATTGAGATGATGACGATGATGAGGATGATGATGATGATGGTGATGGTGAAGGTGATGATGATGTTGATGCTGATGAGGCTGCTGATGATGATGATGCTGATGATGAAGATGATGATGATGAGATGATGATGGTGATGATGATGATGATGATGCTGATGATGATGATGATGATGATGGTGGTGATGGTGATGATGATGATGATGATGATGATGATGATGATGATGCTGATGCTGATGCTGCTGCTGATGATGATGATGATGCTGATGGTGATGATGATGATGATGATGATGATGATGATGATGATGATGATGTTGATGATCCTCCTCTCGCCCCCCGCCTCTTCTCGATATCTCCAGCGTCTTTTATTCGTCTCCACAACTTCTGTGTGTGTGGGGACATGGTGGTCCGCTTGTGGTTTGTGTTATTGGTGTGTCTATGTTCCAAACTATCCTGTGGTGTTGGGTGCTCGTTTTGAAGAGGCAACGCACCGCGTCCTGTTCTCTCCTCCTCCTCCTCCTCCGCCTCTTCCTTCTCCCCCTCCTCCATCCTACCATCCTTGCTTCCGCCCTCCGCATGGCCCCGCGGCAGCGTTCGCGTGCGCCCCCCCCCCCAGCCCAGTTCGCCACACCCTCGCACGCTTCGTGACCGCATATCTCGGGAGCGTTGCAACATGCTCCAGGGGCAGCGTTCGCAGGCGTCCCCCCCAGCCCACTTCGGCACACCGCTCACACGATTCGTGGCCCCATCGGGGAGCCCCACCGAAGGCTCCTATGGCAGCGTTCGCATGCGTCCCCCAGCCCATGTCGGCAAACCCTTCGCACGGTTGTGGCCCGACAAGGGGGGTTCCGCCGCATGCTCTTTGTGGCATCGTTCCCGTGCGCCCCCCAACCTATTTCGGCAAACCCCTCGCACGGCTTGCGGGTCAATCGCAAGGCAGTTCGCTGCTTGGGCCCCACCGCCAACCCAAACGTCGAGCACACATCGGGTGTAGCCCCGCACGCATGCGAATGCCCACACCTGGTCCTCGTACGGCTCGTATTCCTCCCCGTCCTCCTCCCCATCCTGATCGTCGTCGTCCTCCTCCTCCTCGTCCTCCTCCTCATCCTTCTCGTCTTCCTCGTCTTCCTCCTGCTCCAACTCTTCCTCGTCGTCCTCGTCTAGGACCTCGTCCTCGTTTCTCTTTTTCCTCCTCCTGCCCATCCTCCTTCTCGTGGCAGAGGTCTATCGACGTGACCGGGACGCGAGAACAACGCGGAGCGCGTTCTATTTCGTCTTGGGTCCAGTTCGCACAGATCGTTGAGAGATCGGCCGTGGCAGCTGCCACCAATCACGCCAAGTGCTGACATCTGCAATGGTACAGTTGCATGTTGATGGAGTATACAGCATGTCGTGGATGCTTTGCCTGCGCGGTGCGTTGCATGATCTCCCTAGTCTTTCTCTGGGGCTGGCGGCAGAGGCCATAGGTTGTGCCCTAGGTTGCGCCATAGGTTGCGCCCTCGGCGGCTGAGCACGAAACCTTTTCCAATCGTTTGCGCCATAGGTTGCGCCCTCGGCTGCCGAGAATGAAACTGTCTCCTATCGGTTGCTCCATAGGTTGCGCCCTCGGCGGCCGAGAGTAACACCGTCTCCCATCGGTTGCGCCATAGGTTGCGCCCTCGGCGGCCGAGAATATCACTGTCTCCTACCAGTTGCGCCAAAGGTTGCGCCCTCGGCGGCCGCGAATATCACCGTCTCCTATCAGTTTAGCTGTTGCCTGCGCGCGCGCTAGGCAATTAGTTTTTCTCGTAGCTCGGGCCGACCTGTGACGCCGCCGGCGCATTCGCCTGCGGCTGCGACAACAAATCCCCACCAGCCCATCCAGAAACGATGCCCAGGCGAGTTGCCTGTCAGAGTCTCCTCGGATGTCTCTTGGAAGCTTTTTGGAGGCCGTCTTGGGCCATCTTAGATGCTGTGACCGTTCGCGAACCCTCCTCCTAGGTCCAGCGGAGGGCGTGGGGGGAGGGGTCAAGACACCCCCTAGATAGCAAGCCGTCCAGCTCACTCCGACCCGCCGTCCCAACACAGAAGTAGCACCCGAGCCTGAGCATGTTCAGCGGTCGTCTTTGGATGGGCAGCTTTTGGGAACGAGCACCGACCCCATGTGCGTGCGCGACGCTGGGGCGAGGCGCGCCACGCGTGCAAGGCGCGCCGCGCGCGCCAGGCACCCCTGGGGCCCGAGCGTGCCAGGCACGCCTGGTGCGCCAGATGCGCCACGTGCTCCGCGTGCGCCAGGTGTAACGCATACTCCAGCTGCGCCAGGTGCGCCACTATCGGGTCACGTGCAGAGTGTGTCAGGTGCGCCTGCGCACGTGACAGCACAGATCGGGAAACATGTCGGCCCCCACCATCCTCGTCGAAAACCAATGCCCATCATTGTGATTGGTGGGCCTGCGCACAGCAGGCCATCCGCCACCACCCCCGCCGTCCCTGTCAAAAACCATTTGACAGTGATCGCGAGGTGCATTTTTTTAGCCCTGCGCGCAGCAAACGATATGCTGTCACCTCCGCCGTCCCTGTCAAAAAACAATATGCTCGCGGGCCTGGTGTGTTTGGTATTATTTTTAATAGGGATGGTGGGGGCGGGGGGCCGCATCGGGCTGGCCGCGCATGCTCCAAACTTGTAGGCACAAAGCGTTTTTTTTTTGTTTGTTTGGTTTGAAAGGGATTGTGAGGGAGGGGGGGTGAGCATGGTGTCCTCCCGGTTCCTGGTTGGATGCCGGTCGCCTGGGGTGTATGTTACTAGGGAACAGTGATGCACCCTTCCCTGAAGGGGAAGAGGGAGGGAGGGGTTGGAAAAGGAACTTCCCCTGACCAGCTACACCCAGAAGGTTGGTGGGATTCTCCTCTTCGTCTTCCTCGCCTTTCTGTCCCTCTGCTCTGTGGCGCACGGGGCCAGGGGAGGCTGCGCGAGCGCGGCGGCGGTGTCCCAGCCGGACCAGCTGAGAACGCCCGCGCCGGTGTCGGTGCTGTCTTCACTCGGCTCTGCTCTTTTGCCCTCGAACTGCTGGCCAGCAGATCCAAAATGCAAGTCGAAGAAAAACGCCATACATATTCACATTTCGCGCTCCGCACGGATTTCTTGGATCCGAGCTGGAGCGCCCTTGGCGGCGCCTCTGGCGCCGCCCGTGGCGCTCTCCGCGCGCCAGGCGGGGGATTCAAGGGAGGATCCAAGAAATCCGCGCGGAGCGCGCTCATTTTCCTTTTTTTTTGTTTCTTCTTCTTCTTCTTCTTCTAAGGTAGGCACACCAAGTAAGAAACTGGCCTGCCAGCAGGTGCCCCACGCAACTTTCGCATCTCCTGATGGCCCTTCGGGTGCACAAGAAGCCCGGGTGCACCTCCGGGAACTCTAAGCTCGACGACAACCGTGCCCTCGGGTTATTATGCTGTAAGATGGCAGCGCGCAAGGCGGTTCCCCTCGCCATAAGGAGGAGGAGGAGGAGGAAGAGGAGGAGGAGGAGGAGGAGGAGGAGGAGGAGGAGGAGGAGAAGGAGGAGGAGGAGGAGGCGGAGGAGGTCGCACGTATGTTGTTGCGTCCTTGCTGTTTTCTATCGCCATGCATTGTTTTCTGGTCCTCCACATCTCCTTCCGCGGTGGTCCACTTGGCCGCGCACGCTGCCCCTTCTCCTCCTATGCTCCTCCCTTTTCTCGCACGCGCCATTCTCACGCAATGGCTCAGCGCATTGGCCGTGCACGCAGCGCGCTTTTCATCAGCTCGGGGCGCCAACACACAGATACATCGATCTTGGCCGTGCTAACCTGAGGCCCAGGTCTGGTGTTCGCGTACTTCCTGGCGAGGCCATTAGGGTATGCACAAGGACCTTCGATCCAGGATATGCTTCGCCATGATCGGTTCAGGTGTGCATTGTGGGGTCCCCCTGGCCCTTCGGTCAGACATCGTGCGAGTTTGGATGAATCCCGACCGAAGCTCTCGGCCCCATTTCTTTGCGGCACCTCTCGAGCCGCGTCCATCTGTGAGGGTCTTTGGGCACGAAGTTCGGGACCTGTCAGGTGTGGCCAAAGATGTCCTTGCCGTTCCGATCAGCAGGGGAGAAGGTGGGCCGTTGTGGTTTCTCCACGACGTCCAGACCTGAGGTCAGCCAGGCTGAACCTCACGCGCGAGGAGCAGCAAGGCACAGCCAACCATGCAACCGCCTGGGCCAACATCGCGGGTATCCTCCTCGCCGCCGCTCGTCCGCGGCCTCTGTTCGGCTTCAGAGGGTTCGGCGGCGGAGGAGGAGGAGGCGGCGGAGGTGGATGAGGCCGAAGAGGGGGAGGAGGCGGAGGAAAAGGAAGCAGGAGGAGGAGGAATGAGCAGGAGGAGGATGCTCAAGCCATTTTGGCTCAAGGATGCTCCAGGCGCGGAGAGGTACACTTCGGGTGCTGGACATCGGTGAAAGGTCTCGAGAAGGCGCTGATTCCCTCGCAGCGTCGATCAAGAACTGCGGTCGGACAAAACAATGGAACGCAGCACTGCGGTTGCTCCGCGAAGGAATTGTTGACGCTTCGCGAATCCCCGCCAGCCCATCCAGAAACGATGCTCAGATCAATTGCCTCGATCAGGGAAGCGGGCAGCATACAGAGGAAGGGTCCCCCAGTGGAGGCTTCTTGGAGCGTCTTGGGGGCGTCTTGGCGGTCCCGGACGCCTCTTAGAGCGTCTTGGGTGCCTTGGAGAGCTTCGTGGGGCCTCTTGGGGGTCTCTTGGGAGCCTCTTGGAGGCCTCTTGGGCGCCTGTTGGGGCCTCCTGGGGCCTCCTGGACGCCTCTTGGGGCCCTCTTGAAGCGCTCTTGGGAGCCTTGGGAGCGCTCTTGGAGCCCTCTTGGGCCATCTTGGAGCCATCTTGAGGCCTCGGCGAGAAAGCAAAACACATGGATTTAACAAAGGTTTTGGAAGGATTTTGGCCTCTTCGGGGCCTCCTGGGGGAGCTCTTTGGCCACTTGGAGCCGTCTTGAAGCGGTCTTGGGGCCTCTTGGAGCATCGTGGGCGCCATCTTGAGGCATCTTGGGATATCTTGAGCCATCTTGGAGATCATCTTTGGCTCTCCCAGGCGCTCGTGGAGTCATCTGAAGCAGTGCCCCCCCCCAGGAGGCCAAAATGTGGCCAAAACCTTACTAACATCAACGATTTTGGCATTGTCGCCGAGGCCTCTTGGAGCGTCTTGGGTGCCTCTGGGGGGCCTCTTGGGGCCTCTTGGAGGTCTCTTGGAGGTCTCGTGGGAGCCTCTTGGGGGCATCCTGGGGGCCTCCTGGGGGCCTCGTGGGGCTTCCTGGCCACCTCTTGGGGCCCTCTTGGGGCACCCTTGGGAGCCTTTGGGGCCATCTTTGGGCCATCTTGGGTGAGATCGATCACAGGAGGGGGGGTGCGGATTACAGTTCCCCCCCCAGGAGGCCAAAATGGGACCACAACCCCAGTAAAATCAATGATTTTGGCTTCCTCGCCGAGGCCGTTTTGGACGCTCCGACACCTCGCGAAACCCCCTGTCCAGGTCCATGGGGAGGGGGTAGGGGGAGGGGTAAACCCCTCCCCGAAGGGGAAGAAGGAGGGGTGGAAGAGGAAACGCTCTAAACCACCAGCGCCCAGAGGGCTGGTGGGATTCGATTAGGTCTGCAACTCGTCCAAATCCAGTACACTGCGACAGCCAGTGCATGCAGAAAAGGGGGGGAGTGGCAACATGCGTTGTCAGTGCTTGGTGAGATGTGGGAGGCGAAGCTGGAGGCCGACGTCATCAGCTCCAATGTTGGGATCTGCTCGTGCGAGAAGGGCGGGCAGTGGCAGAGGGCACTGGCGCTGCTCTGGGAGATGCCGGAGGAGAAACTTGAGCCCACCATCATCAGCTTCAGCGCTGGGATCAGCGCGTGCGAGAAGGGCGCGCAGTGGCAGCGGGCACTGGCGCTGCTTTGCGAGATGTTGAAGGCGGAAGTGCAGCCTACCGTCATCAGCTACAGCGCTGGCATCAGCGCGTGCGCCAAGGGCGAGCAGTGGCAGCGGGCGCTCGCGCTGCTGAGTGAGATATGGGAGGCGAAGCTGGAGCCCGACGTCGTCTCCTCTACAATACCGGGATCAGTGCGTGCGAAGCCCCCTCGAGTGGACTCGGCCTGGCCCCCGGCGCTCCTGAGGCCCTGGTCCGTCGCCGGCGCCCCCGGAACGGTAATGGTCCGTCGCCGGCGCTCCCCGAACGGCCCTCGCCCGCTCGCGACGGATCCACGAGAGTCCCGGGCGAGTTCCGAAACGGCCCCCCAAGGGCCCCTGAAGGGCCCGAGTGGCCCCAGAGGCTCTCTTGACGATTTCGACAAGGGCTTCAGGGGGCAAAAAGCATGGATTTTCCATTGGTTTTTGATGATTTTCCCGCTTCGGGCTTCTTCGAGCCGGAACGGCTCCAAAGGCGCCGCGAATCGTTTCAAGACCGCCCATAAGGCCCCCAAGAGGGCCCCAGAACGGCCCAAGAGCGCCCCCCCCAAGCCGGCCCAAGAGGGCCCCGAGAGGCCCCCGAGACCAACCATGAGGCCCCGACATCCCCCCAAGGACTCCCGAAACGGATCGACGAGGGCTCCCAGAGAGCCCGAATCGGCGACCAAATGGATACTACAACGCACCCCCTCCTGTGCGTTCTACAAGGGTGGGCCATCTTTGGGACCGCCACGACTTCCCCTAGAGCCCCACGACATTGCCAAAAGGACCCCCGCAGGCTTTGAAAGCTTCCACATGGGCCCGTCCATGATATCGCCGCACATACCCCCGAAACCCAATGTTTTCTCCGTGTGTCCTTGCGAATCGGCCTAAATCCATTGGGGAAATGCGCAGTTTGCTGCTGGCGCCGCCCCGACCACATCGTCGAAAGCACCCCGCAAATACGACAGGTTCGGGCAATTCTCGAAAACACCTTGCGTTTCAGGCGATTGCAAGGGACACACGGGACAGTGCATCGTGAATCCAACGATTTTTTTTTTCGGGCCGCAGGTTCCCTGGGACCCTCTCCATCGTTCTCGCTTCATTGCCTGACTCCGCGGCCAGCACGCGCTGCTGGGGAACCTTGTCCGAACCCTGATGGACATCGATGCCCCACCGACGCGTTCCTTCTGGATTTCTACTCATACCTCCATCTCTGTAAAGACGATCACAAGACCTTCTGACAATGAGTCGAGGAGGGGCAACCCTGTCACACCGAGCGCCTCGGGGGAAGGATCGGAGCGCTTCTGTAGTCACACCGAGCGCCTCGGAGAGGGGCGGGCGGCGCCTCTGTAGCCCCCACAGGACCGAGCCCTCCTCCTGGACTGCCGCTGCTGCTCCAACTCCTCCTCCTCTTCCTCCTCCTCTCCGTTCTCCTCCTCCTCCGTCCTAATCCTCGGGCTCCACGACTGAATTCGATTGGCCATCCTCCTCTTCTTCTTCCTCCTCCTCCTCCTTCTCCTCCGCCTTCGTCGTCTTTTCTACTGCGTTTTAGTCGTGCGCCCCCCCCGATTGATATCAAACCCATGGATATCTCAACATGTTTACGGTGCAGGCGTTGCCCGGGCGGCTTTGCATTGAACGCTTCCGATAAGCGTCATTTGTGAAATATAGCAAAAGCCATGCTATTCTGATGGTTACGGGGGGGGGGCTAACGGGAAAGACCCATGGAAAGCCACCTCGATGGCTGCGGCGACGTCGTCGTCGTTGTTCGGGTGGGCCGATTCGCGCGAGCCAGCCAGCTCGCGCGAGCGCGCCGGCAGCCTCCGCCGTCACCGTCGCCGCCCGCGTTGCTTTCGCCGTCGCCGTCGCCATCGCCGTGTGCGCTACGAGGGAACCCGTCGTCTTGCGCGCCAGGCCCGCTATCTGCGTTTCCGCCCCACCCGCCTCCTTCCAACTCGCTTCACCGCAGGAGACGTCCGACCAGCTGTTCCCGTTCGGGTTCAGCGGCTCCCAGTCTCGGTGTGCGCGATCGGGGTTCAGCACACCGTGGATTTAATCCACGGGTACACACTAGTCAGCTACAGCGCTGGGGTCAGCGCGTGCGAGAAGGGCGGGCAGTGGCAGCCGGCGCTGGCGCTGCTGAGCGAGATGAGGGAGGCTAAGCTGGAGCCCAGCGTCATCAGCTACTGCGCCGGCATCAGCGCATGCGAGAAGGGCGACCAGTGGCAGCCGGCGCTTGCGCTGCTAATCGAGATGCGGGAGGCGAAGCTGGAGCCCGACGTCATCAGCTACAGCGCTGGGATCAGCGCGTGCGAGAAGGGCGGGCAGTGGCAGCAGGCGCTGGCGCTGCTGAGCGACATGTGGATGGTGAATGTGGAGCCCGGCGTCATCAGCTACAACGCTGGGATCAGCGCGTGCGGGAATGACGGGCGGTGGCAGTGGGCTTTGGCGCTGCTCAAGGAAATGTCGGAGGAGAAACTGGAGCCCACCGTCATCAGCTACAGTGCTGGCATCAGCGCCTGCGCCAAGGGCGATCAGTTGCAGTGGGCTTTGGTGCTGCTGAGCGAGATGCGGGAGGAGGATCTGGAGCCCAACGTCATCAGCTACTGCGCTGGGATCAGCGCGTGCGAGAAAAGTGGGCAGTGGCAGCGGGCTTTGGCGCTGCTGAGCGAGATGTTGGAGGCGGAAGTGCAGCCTACCGTCATCAGCTACAGCGCTGGCATCAGCGCGTGCGCGAAGTGCGAGCAGTGGCAGAGGGCGCTCGCGCTGCTGAGCGAGTTACGGGAGGCGAAGCTGGAGCCCGACGTCATCTCTCCTACATGGCCAGTGGAAGCGCGTGCGAGAATGGTTCAGGCCTTCGTGTGCACAAAATCTCTCCTTTACGGTGCCACCACGGGGCCGAGTCGCTCAGGCCGGTCCCAGAGGCGCTCCAGAGGGGTTCCCAGACCGTCCAAGAGCGCTCCAAGACGGCCTTAGTGGGTCCCGAGATGGCCCACGAGGGCCCGAAGTTTTCCGGGGGGGTTTCACGACGATCCAAGAGGCCGCAAAGACGCCCCAAGAGGGCCCCGAGCCGAGCGCACGCCAAAAAGGTACACATCGTCAAACTCCAATGGGGAAACGTATATTTTCAGAATGCCCGCCGCGTGTGCTCCTCAGTGGCCCAGGACATGTCAAGAGGCCTCCCGAATCGCCCCAAGAAGACGCCAGCGGCCCCGAAGAGGGCTCCAGGACGGCCCACAAGAGCCCCAAGACGACGCCAGAGGGCCCTGAAACGGCCTCACAGAACCCCAAGACGGCCCAAGAGAGCTCCGATGGGGGTCCCAAAACGCTCCCAAGACGGCGTCAAGCAGCCTCAAGAGAGCTCCAATACAGTCCAAGGCCTCCCGGACGCTCCGTGACGGCCCAAAAAAGCCCCCAAACGTCCCAGAACGTTTTCAAAGCAGCCCCAAAAAACTTCAGAAGGGCCCGAAAATGATCCCCACAAGGACCACCAAGCAGGCCCAGAGACGCCCACTAAAAGAGCGAACGGTGAAGTACAAAGCCCCAGAGGGCCTCTGGACGGCCCCCAGACGGCTTAAGACGGCCCCAGACGGCCCCGAGAGGCACACAAGGCGGCCCAAGAGGGCCCCAAGAGGACCCCAGGAGGCCGCAAGACGGCCCAAAGGGCCCCAAGAGGCCCCCAGCAAGCCGAAAAGGAACCCCGAGAGGCCCCCAAACAGTTCCCAAGGAAAAGGCAGCGCCCGCTATCAGGCTTCGAACAGTCAACCAGAAAAAAATTCACAGAGCCCTTCGGGCGACTTTTTTTCGGCCCCAGGCGCTCTCGAAATGGTTCAAACCAGGGGGAGCAGACAAGCGGCGGGAGGCACACCGCAGACCCACCATAGCCGTCTGTGATGCTCCGAAGGCTGTCCAGGCGGACGAGGAGGAGGAGGAACGGAAGGCGGAATGGCGGCCGGAAAAAGTAACCGAAGGTTTCGGGGTGTTTTTTTTTCTGGGCGGAGGCCCAACGTGGAGGCCTGCCAGGGGGACCTGCTGGTCGTGGACGACGTCCATGGGTTCGCCCTAGTCAGCTACGGCGCTGGGATCAGCGCGTGCGAGAAGGGCAAGCAGTGGCAGCCAGCGCTGGCGCTGCTGAACGAGATGCGGGAGGCTAAGCTGGAGCCCAGCGTCATCTCTCCTACATGGCGGGTGGAAGCGCGTGCGAGAAAGTCAGGCACTCAAGTGCACAAAATCGTCCCTTTACGGCCCCAGGCTGCCCCCGGGCCGCCCCGGGCCGCCTCGGGAGGCCCCAAGACACGCCAAAAGGGCCCAGAGAGGCCACCAAGACGGCCCCGGAGGGCCCCGGCACGCCCAAAGATGGGCTTAGACGCTCGAGATTGGCCCAAGACGGCTCCAGAGACCTCCAAGACGGCCCAAGAAGCCTCCCAAGAGGCCTCCTAAGAGGGTCCCGAGTGGCAGAAATCGTGGATTTCCATTGTGTTTTTCTATGTTTTTGGCCTTCTCGCCTTTTCGGCTTCCCGAGGCTCCAAGACGGCCCCAGAGGTCCCCAAGACCGCTCCAAGACAGCCGAAGAGGCCCCCAGGAGAGCGTCAAGACGGGCCAAGAGGGCCCCAAGACGGGCCCCAGCAGGCCCCGGCGCGCTCCGACACGCTCCAAGACGAGCCAAGGAAGGCCCCAAGAGACCTTCAAGATGGCCCCAGAGGGCCCCGGCACGCCCAAAAATGAGCCCAAGACGCTCAAGATTGGCCCAAGACGGCTCCAGAGGTCTCCAAGACGCCCCAAGAGGCTTCCCAAGATGCCTCCCAACAGGGCCCCGAGTGGCAAAAATCTATGATTTCCATTGTGTTTTTCTATGTTTTCGGCCTTCTCGCCTTTTCGGCTTCCCGACGCTCCAAGACGGTCCCAGAGGTCCCCCAGACCGCTCCAAGACGGCCGAAGAGGGCCCCAAGAGAGCCCCAAGATGGGCCAAGAGGGCCCCAAGACGGGCCCCAGCAGGCCCCGGCGCGCTCCGACACGCTCCAAGACGCGCCAAGGAAGGCCCCAAGAGACCTTCAAGATGGCCCCAGAGGGCCCCGGCACGCCCAAAAATGAGCCCAAGACGCTCAAGATTGGCCCAAGACGGCTCCGGAGGTCTCCAAGATGCCCCAAGAGGGGGTCCCGAGTGGATTTCCATTATGTTTTTCGATGTTTTCGGCCTCCTCGCCTTTTCGGCTTCCCGACGCTCCAAGACGGTCCCAGAGGTCCCCCAGACAGCTCCAAGACGGCCGAAGAGGGCCCCAAGAGAGCCCGAAGACGGGCCAAGAGGGCCCCAAGACGGCCCCACGACTCCCCAAGACGGCCCCAGCACGGCCCAGGAGGCGCCCAAGACGGCTCAAGAGGCACCCAAGACGGCCCCAAGAGCGGCCCGAGACGGCCCAGGACAGCCCAAGAGGCGCCCAAGCCGGCCTCAGCTGGCCCCAAGACGGCCCAAGAGGCACCCAAGACGGCCCAAGAGGGCCCTAAGAGCCTCCCCGGGAGGCCCAGAAGACCCCAAGTGGCTCCGAAACGGCCCCCACGAGGCCCTAAGTGGTTTCAGAATTGCCTCCAGGAGGGTGGGAGCGGACGAGAGGCGACAGGCATTTCGCAGACACTAAAGAGCCGTGCAGCATCAGCAGCACGCGTTGACAACGCAAGCGTCATTCAGCATCATGCAGCATGCAGCAACATCTTTGTCCTCAGTCGTCGCCGCCATCGTCGTCGTCGTCGTTGTTGTCCTCGGTCGTCGTCCTCCGTTGTCCGTCGTCCGTCGTCCGTCGTTCGTCGTCTGTCGTCGTCGTCGGTCGGTCGGTCGGTCGGTCGGTCGGTCGTCGTCGTCGTCGTCGTCGTCGTCGGACGCCGTCGACGACGATGACGACGACCGAGGACGACGACGATGACGACGATGGCGGCGGCGACCGAGGACGACGAAGACGACGACGACGACGACGACGGCGGAGGCCTCCCGCAGGCCTCCGAGAAGATAACTGGCGTCGACGAGCGCCTGGCTGGCGGGCGCGCGGGAGCGGGCGAGGCAAGCGGCAGGGCGGCCACGAGCCTTGAGACAACGACGGCGACGACGACGACGACGGCGGAGACGACGACGACGACAGCGGAGACGACGACGACGACGACGGAGACGACGACAGATGACGACGACGACGACGACGACGACGACGACGACGACGACGATGGCGACAGCGACGGCGACGGCGACGGCGACGGTGACGACGACGACGACGACGACGACGACGACGACGACGACGACGACGACAAGCGTCATCGGCCAGGCGAACAGGGAGCCCGACGTCATCAAGTGCGCCTTCCAGCAGTACTCCCTCCACCACGCAAGTGGACGGAGTCCACGGGTCAGCCCTAGTCAGCTACAACGCTGGGATCAGCGCGTGCGAGAAGGGCGAGCAGTGGCAGCAGGCGCTGGCGCTGCTGAGCAAGATGTGGGAGGCGAAGGCGCAGCCCGACGTCATCAGCTACAGCGCTGGGATCAGCGCGTGTGAGAAGGGCGATCAGTGGCAGCGGGCGCTGACGCTGCTGACCGAGATATGGGAGGCGAAGCTGGAGCCCAACGTCATCTGTACTACAATTCTGGGCGAAGCGCGTGCGAGTAGTAGAAGCCAAGGCGGCGCCCCAGGCCGCTCAGAGCCCGCAGGCCACCCAGAGAGCCTCTGGGACGCTCCTCCACGGCCCCACAAGGCCTCTGGAGCGCTCGCCGACGGCTCCAGGGCCTTCAGATCACCCCAAGATGGCCTCACAGACGCCCAAGAGGGCCGAAGCCGACCCGACCAGAGCCCAAAAAGGCTTAAGAGACGGCCCCCGAGGACCGCGTGGACTGCGCCAAGGGGCAATTTTTGTACGTTTTTCGAAGGTTTCGGGCGTTTTCCTGTTCCCGCCATTTCGGGCCTACAACGGCCCAGGATGGCCCCGGGGGATTCCCAGATTGCCCCTGTACGGTCCAGGAGGGCCCCAGGAGGGCCCCCAGACGGCCCAAGAGGGCCCGTAGACGGCCCAAGAGGGCCCCAAGACGGCGCGGGAGAGCTTCAAGCGACCCCTAGAGCAGCCCCAACCGGGCCCCAGATCCTGCCCGAGCGGGCCCAAAGCGGCCTCCGAAACGGCCCGAACCCCCCAAGATGGCCCCAAGACGCCCTAAGAAGGACTCCAGAGGCCGCCCAAGAGGACAACGCGACCTCCGAGACGGCCTGGGACCCCCAAGATGGCCGCAAGACGCCCCAAGAAGGCCGGGACACGGCCTCAGAGGGCCCCAGCCACGGCCTCCGAGCCTCAGGACTTCTCGCCGATTCTGACTCCACACTCTCGTCGACCTCCTCTTCCTTCTGGAAACTTCGACACGCCTTAGAAAGCATCGGGTTTTCGCTAGTCGCGCCCAGCCTTGGCTTATGTTGTTCCCATCCTACTTAAGGACTGCATCCCAGAAATAATTTCGAGCGCCCAGAAAAGTGTCAAAAGAGTATCGAAACAGTGTCAAAACAGTGTCGGGCGAGTGTCTCCCAGGGCCCGGCACGTGAAAACCCTTGAGTTTCGGTACTTTTTTGGGCGCTCGAAATTCTTTTTGGTAATCAAGGCTAAAGTAGGTTGGAGCATCATAAGCCTTGGCGCGATCAGCGGAAACCCGTAGGTTCTTCCCACTGCGCCACGCCGACTGGCGCTCCCGACCAAAGACCGGAGCTCTGGAGACGGCCCGAGGGGCTTCCCTCCACTGCGCCCTGCCCTCCCGCAGGCCTCGGCGGCACTCACCGCCCACCAAACCACTCCAACCCAACCCGAAGGCCACGATTTGCCCTCCATTTCCAGTGGGGGGGTCGGGGAACATAGAAAAACACGTGGAACTCGTACCCCCCCCAACCCGAAATTCGGGTCAAGTTCGGGGCTTCCCTCCACTGCAATGATTTTGCGAGAACATCCAGATGGTTCCCGGGTCGCGCGGGGGGCGCCGCGGTTTCCCCGCGTTCGGGCCCCGGGGGTGGCCAGTGACGCTCTTCCATGTTTTTGTTCCGCACAACGTCCAGATGGTTTCCGGGTTTCGCGGGACGCGCCCTCGAGGTCAAACGCCGCGGTTTCCTTGCGTTCGGGCCCGTCGCTGCGGGCCCCCGGGGCTCCCGCAGGCCGTGGATTCTCCACGGGTTCACACCAGTCATCTCTCCTACAATAGCCGGGTCCGCGCGTGCGGTGCGGAGCGCAGTGGCAGCGAGCCGCACCCCCCCCTGGCCGCTTCGGGGTGGCCGTCGGGGTCGCCTCGGAGCCTCTGGAGCGGCTCCGATCTGGAGCGGCTCCGATCGCGCAGCGGACGCTCCGTGACTGCCGAAGATCCGCTCCAGACGCCCCCAAGACGGCCTCAGGACGGCTCAAGACGCCCCCGAGCTGCCCCGAGAGACCTCCGAGCGGGCCCTTACGACGCAACAATCGTCCCATTCCCTTCGTAAAACGTACATTTTTGGAGAACTCGCTCTTCTGGTCTGCACGGCGTCCAAGACGGTCGAGGACGCTTCCAAGACCGCCCCAACACGGCCCCAGAGGCCCCCAAGAGAGCCCCAGTCGAGACCAAAACGGCCCTTCAGGGCCCCAAGACGGCTCGCGAGGGACCCAAGAGGGCCTCCAGAAACTCCCAAGAGAGCCCCGAGAGGGCCACGGGAGGCGCCCAAGAGGGCCTCCAAGTACCCCCAGAGCGCCCCAAGACAGCCCGTGCCCGTGCCCCCCAAGACGGCCACGGAGGGCCCCAGAGCGGCCCCAGAGCGCCTCAAGAGGGCCCAAAAAAGCTTGCACCGGACCGCCAACAGGCTCCCAAGAGAGCCCCAGGAGGGTAGGCACCAAGGCAGGCAGCCCCAACGGCATCGCCACAGGGACCTCCGAGCCGGTTTTCACAAAAAAAACTCCCCGGCAGCCCCTGCGGGGACACACACTGAAAGCAACGACAAAACGGCTCCCTCCGAAAATTTGCTCCGCCTCGGGCTCAGGCTCGAGCTCTGGGCTCGGGCCCGGGCTCGGGCTCGGGCTAGGTTTCGGGCTTGAGCCTGGGCTCGGGCTCGGGGCTCGGGCCTGGGTTCGGGCTCAAGCCTGGGCTCGGGCTTGGGCTCGAGCTCCAGCTCGTGCTCGGGCCTGGGCTGGGGCCTGGGCTCGGGCTCGGGCTCGGGCTCGGGCTCAGGCTCCGACCTGGCCTTCGGCTCGGGCTCGGGCTCGGGCTCGAAGCTCGAAGCTCGGGCTCGGGCTCGCCCCCCCTCCAGTCGCGCCACAACCGCCGCCAGAGGGATCTCCACGCCGGTTTTTACAGAAGAAGAACTACCCGTAGGCCCCTGCGGGGAATGCCGCGGATCACACCGACCAAAGCGCGTCCTCCTGCGTCGACCCCAGCATGAACGCTCTCTACAAGCTCGTGGAAGCTCGTCGGGTCCACGCTAGTCAGCTACAACGCTGGGATCAGCGCGTGCGAGAAGGGCGAGCAGTGGCAGCCAGCGCTGGCGCTGCTGAGCGAGATACGGGAGGCGAAGCTGGAGCCGGACGTAATCTGTAATACAACACTGGGGACACCGTGTGCCAGAAGGGTGGGCACGGGGACGCGGCTGAAGTGGCCCAAATCTCGGGCCTGGCGGGCCCCGGCGGGCTCCGAGACGGTTGCAGATGGCCCGAGACGCCAACCGACGATCCAAGGTATGGCCTCAGACGGCCCATCAGGGCCCCAAGACAGCCCAAGAGTCTTGAGGGCTCCAAGAGGCCCCCCCAAGAAGAGCCCCGAGATGCCCAAATCAGGTTTTTTCCGGGAATTTCTGGAGGGTTTCAGCGTCCTCGCTGTTTTGGAGTCTCGACGCTTCAAGACGGCTCCGGAGATCGCGCCAAGACGGCCCAAGAGGCCACCAAGAGAGCTCCCAGACGGCCCAAGAGGGCTCCAAGACAGCCCGAGAGGCCCCCATAATGGCCCAGGACGGCCCCGAGAGGGCCCCACAAGGACGAACTCGAACTGACACGTCGCGCCCTCCGCTCCAGGATGAGCCCAGAAACCGCCAGCTGGCCCCCCAAATGCCTCCTAGACGCCCCAGGAGGCCCCCCGAGAGGCCCGAATCAGATCCCAGGAGGCCCTCGAGGGGCTCGAACACGCCACCCAGACCGCCTCCAGGAGGACTCCGAAGGAAGGTCTCCTCGAGAGTTCTGGGACCGCGCCGGCCGCCCGTGAAAGCAAGGCGCCCCATGCGCCTCTCATCTCTGGCCTGGATGGGTGACACGTGCGGGAGTTCTCCCCGAAAGTGCTCCGGACAGGCCGGCTATCGGGGACATGCTCCGCAGTGCTCTCAAGCTCATGCTCCGGCCCACGCAGCCCGCGCGCATCCTCCGACCTCTTCGGGCGGCCAGAGCCACCACATAATCCCGAAGCCCGCCCTCAAGAGGCTTCCGAGGGAGGCCGCCTCAGGAAGCTCTGGGACCGCGCCGGCCAGCAAGGAAGACGAAGCCCCCCACGCGCCTCGTATTCCCTCCCTTCCTTTGCATCGGCTCCGGTCGGAGCACATGCTTCGACCTCTTCGGGCGGCCACAGCCACCATGGAGTGTCGTTGAACAGTGAGGCCCACATACTTACGTGTCTTAATTTAATTGCTTCTCACCTCGCTGGCCCATTTCGCGTCACTATTGCTGCGTGGTGGTGTGCTCGTGCCCCGGGGGAACAGTAGGGCAGGCAGGACAGTCCTCGAGGAGATCTTTGGAGATGTGGCGCCCTGGGGGAACAGTAGGGCAGGCAGGACAGTCCTCGAGGAGGTCTTTGGAGATGTGGCAGGCATCCAGACGAATAGAGCCGATAGACTGCCCCAGAGGGTGCCAAGATGGCTCAAGAGAGCTCCAGCAGAGTTTCGGGACGAGCGATCTGATGGCCTCTTGGGCCGTCCAGGCGGTCGGCAGCTCGAAAAGGCGGCACCGCCCACATCGTCCGAAAACCGGGGCAAAATCAGTGAGTCTCGTGCCTTCGGAACCTCTCGAAGTCCTCGTAGAGCCCTCCTGGAGCGTCCTGGGCGCTCCTTGGGCCGTCTTGGGACCACCGTGCGCCCTCTTGAGCCATCTGGGCCCGAGGCTGTGGGGCGTGCCATCCTCTTGGCACCTCGCTGGGGCGCTCGGGGCCCCCCCCGAGGCCGCGCCCAAGAGTTCGGGCATCTCTGAGGAGGAGGAGGAGGAGGAGGAGGAGGAGGAGGAGGAGGAGGAGGAGGAGAGG